TTCTTCTTTCGTTAGTTCTCCTTCATGCTCGTGTCGGAATGAATTATCTAAGAGCGTTACTATTCATTGTGTTTCTTGAGTTAAATGATGCCGTCGACCAACTCAGCAATAAAATTCAAGCTCATTCTGTGAAGAACACGTTTTGAAGAACCAACAGTCGATCAACAAGCGACAGAAAACAAATTTTTTGCAGTGAAATCATCTTTGAAACTGATTTTTGTAATCAGGTATTCTGATGGTTAAACTTACTTTCAACTTCTTCAAGGTCTTCCCTGGGCAAAATTGAAGTTGCCCGTTTGACTGCGCACACCTAGTGCAATGGTTAGACGCGCCCAACAACGTCGGTCTGATCACACTTCTAGGGCTCATCAAAACTTTCGTCTTTCTGCAAAGTATATTTGCAGGTCGGTGAATTAGTACCAGACTTGTCTGGAAGGATAGCAGCAGTGACTTGATAATCGGCGTGTCTCAACAAGTCATTCATTGTAAAGCCAAATATGCATTCAATCACCCATAGCTATGCTCAACAAAGTCGAAAGCATGGCGTATTCCCCAGGCAATGATTGACTATGGAAGCTTTTTATGATATGTTAAGTGTCTAAATGTACATGTGCTTGTGCGCTTGTGCGAGTGCGCCTATTTGTTCCTTCGTTTATTTATTTATGAGGCGGAAGAGCGCAGTAGGTAGTTATGCAGTGTATCAGAAAGCGACGTGATGAGAACGTGTTGGTTCAACCCTCCTTCAACGTTCTGTAATCAATCAATGAAACTCTAAGAATCTGTTAGCTCGAGCACCTCCATTGCGTCAAGAATCGTTTCGACCAGCAAATTCTCAAACCCCAACCAAACCAACACATAACAGAGTTGAGTAGAAGGAATGGTGAAACCGATAATAAGAAAAATCAATTTTCATTTCACACGATACTTTACCACAGTTTGCTGCATGGATGCTAAGATTTCTTGCATTCATCCTCCATAAAGGTCTTCAAGTATTTCACGCGTAGCTTCGAATGCTGCTTGAGAATATCGTCTTGATTATGGATGTCGTAGAATGTTGATCGAGAGGATTCCCCTTGCATTCTTGAAGGTAGCCGAGCTAAGTCTTTCTTAAGCGTTCAATTAAATGATTGCAGGAGAGTACGGGAAGAGGGAATCGAACCAGCACTTTGTTTATTGCCTTAATCCTCATGAAATGCATCACTAACCAGTGCACTGATCTGCTCCTGTGTATACGCATGTATATACATAAATATATATAATGCGCATATATATATATACATATATATATATATATATATATATATAATGCATGCCGACGCGAGTGTATATATTTATACATGCAAGCATGTAAATGTATGTGTAAAACTGAATTTATGAGCATATTTTCTGCAAGATTTAAAGCAAATGCGTTATCATCAAAATCTGTATAAATAGTAACAAATCCGTTAATCGTACAAAGTCAGCATTACCACTGTAATTGAAAATATAATATTCTTCAGCGAAGCGCCTGTTCCAGTGAACAACAAATTAGCCGGGTTGATGACTTATGAGCCTTTCGTCTTCCAATTGACAAATTTTGCATCCTTCAGGCTACTTCAGTTGTGAAATAACGAAGATTCTATTGCTCTCACATGGGATGGTTCATGAGGATTTTATTAGGATTTCTGAGATCAAAAAGTGTTGAACATTCTAATTTACCATCCTTTTCTTTGTCCTCCTTCACTACATATTTGATTCTAAGATCTTCAGAATCCTTATTTTCTTCTTAACCCAGCCAGAATGTGTCATAACAATCTTTATTCGAACAGTTCGAACAGAACAGTTGACGTTTTGACAGTCTCACCTTCGTCAGAGTCTGGAAAGAATAAGTTGTCTACAGTCCAGTCAGTCAAACATCTTCATCACTCCTATAGAAAAAAATCACCAGACACAGATTTTAGTCGAACTGAGCAGAAAATCAGCTTTCAACATAATCACCATTTTATATGTCTTCTACTGAGTAATCCAAGTGGTGATCACGGATGGAAATCAAATGGGCTAGTAATGCACGTGTCCATTGAAATAACAGTCTTATCTGGCATATCACTAGTGATTACGAGGTATTGTTACCTGCGGTTTACAGTTGGATTGATCGTATTTATTCAGACGCTCCTAGAATCTTCCGCATCGATCGTTAATGTCCTTAGACAATCTTTGTGACATCGATGCAAGTTATAATACATACATACATACATACATAACATGCATACATATATACATATATGTATATATATATATATATATGTTGAAGGGTATTAAAATTAACAGTGAGAAAAATAAATTATAAAAGCAAAAAAACACCTAAGAAAGTAGCCTCACATGTTATTACGCTATATTAATTCGAAACAATTTGCATTTCAATGTCTTTTGATAATCTTAATAATTTTGTCGATTCAATAAATCCTGCTCAGTTCTAAGGATTTTTCGCAGTTTGTGATGAATTGAGGAATCGGTTTTAATTTCAGCTAGAATAAATCGGCTTTATCGCTTCGTGAATCTATGTCAAATAGAATCGCTAACAAATCTCTCATGCATATTTTATGTTGACCATTTATTATTCGTGCAAATTTTTTCGTGTGCTTTTCGCGGTTTTCACGCACGCTCCTTTCCTAATGAGATATATGCTTATCTGGGTTTATAGGCAATAAGAAAAATTGCACATTACCATAACACCTCCAGAAATTCTTGAAAAAATAGAGAAAATGTATTTGTTGATAGAAAAGTTTAGTGAAATCGTACGAGCTATATATACCTCACCTAACTTACAGTTTCCTGCTGCACATGCAACTGATTTATGTTCAATATAAAAGAAGTAATTGTTCAGGAAGTACCTCTTCTTTTGATGAGTTTCAGTCAACACCTTCTACTTCACAGTACTATTATCCCTCTATCATTTGCCAACATCTCTTATTCCTTCATGACCTAGCCATCCATATGTCTCTGTCAGTGTTTGGTTTCCTGGGTATTGTAGAGGTGATGGCTCTCGGTGAGTCGAAGTGAGCGTTTGCTTAAATATTGTATGCGCTGTTATCACTTCAGAAGACATTTTTCAGACGCTCTGTGAGTGATGCGCATAAATTTGTCTTGGCTATGTGAACCCATGTACCTGCTGTGTGGATTAGCGCTGGAATAATGGCTGAGTCGGAAAGGTGAACAGAGAATTTGTCGGATCTTATTCGAAAAAATACAAATGCAGCCTGATGTTGCATTGCATATTTTTCACGTTCGTGAACGTAAACTAACGTAGACTTGAAGTCTTTGCGGTCGAAGAACCATTATTTACTTCCTTAGCATCTACCTAACATCATGTCGTTAGTTTTTATCATCTAAATCCATTTCTGATCTCCTTGGAGTTGAATTCTTTTCCCACTTTGTTTATCTCATTGAGCATCACCTATACTTCACTAGTACTCCTCGAAAAAGGACGGTGTTATCAGCAAAAACGATTTCACACAAATTTACCTCATTGATGCATTTGCCCATCTCGTTCAAATTGGACGACTTAATTGCCCACTGAATAAGAAGATGAACAACTCTAGCAAAATAATGATGATTCAATGGTCCCTTTGACGACGATGAAGCTGTTTTTGTGGAGCATCGGTGAGTGATCGCATCAAATAGGGTTCTCTAGAGAAATTTTGTCGACGAGCTCACCGACTAGCCGATGTTCGTTTTGGAGGTATGGCACTCTTTCACAAAGTCGACAAAGACACTGAACAAACAGTTGTCTGAACAACCTTTTATGACTGTAGCTCAATGTTATCATCGCCATTAGTCCTGCTTGTTCAGAAAGTCTGACTGTGTCCATACATGTGACCGAATAACCTCTGTAAAGCGTGCTTGACAATCTCTGGCGGTAACTATAAAAGTTGCCAAGTTTGGTATTGTTTTCTAAACAGACTGGGCACGTACGAAGTCATCTTGAATGTCTAGGATTTTTGTAGTGTGGTTGGAGAAATTTCTCGACATTCTTCTTTTTCTAATAGATCCTGCAACGTTAGTGGAGACCCTTGCATTTGCTCCTAAATGGAAAGTTGACTAGTCCTTGCTATACCTTATAGTTTTTTAAAGGAATAGTATGTATTCTTCATTTGGCCCACATCACTCACGAATATTCTTATCACATAAATCTTATGTACTCCCTCTCAGTGATGATAGTTTCTTCTCTAGTAAACATCTGAGTGGAAACTTCGTACAAAAGAGGACTCGTTCTCAGGTCGCCATTATAGGAGGGAGCTCAACCTCGTTGATCAGGGAGAGCCTTGTTGTGCAGTAGGGGTTCACTTGACCAGAAAATTGACGAGCTAGTTCGGGAAACGTATAGTGATGTGGCAGGTTGGCGTATAAGCAACTACAGTCTCAGAGCTTGGTTAAGCTCAGTTACTTCCATTAATCACTTGTTTTGGCGAGAATGAAGGTTGGTTGTCGTTGAGTTCTTTCACATCAACTCGCGTAGTCGCAAGAGGGTCAGTTTCGATGATTGCTTTTCCGATGACTCCCGATGAGGTTAGTAAAAGTAAATGCGGTTTAGGCTTTATTGAGAAGGGTGTCTGTCATGAAACTTTTTGAATAACTGCTACACTAAATGTTCATAAACACATTCTGGGCCAAATGCGCTGTTGATGTTGCAAGTTGACTGTGGTGTTTCGCAACCTAGTGTAAATCCACAGCCTAAAACCGCAATTACTTTTGCACCAACCAGCATTCTTTCTGAAAGAAATATAAAATAAACAACAAATGACACGTCATTAGCAATTAGACATGAAACGAGAGATACTCACAGAAAATATGTATAACGTAACCACTATCAAATGGAACTATTCATCGATACATAAGCCACAACTTTCTCGTCAACATAGCATAAAATATATAATTTGTATAAACTCTTTCTATTTTGACTGCCACTTGCAGTGGTATGATGTTTATAGTATACCCAATGTGGAGTGTTGTGCAAAAACATTTGAGTCAGCCGGGATTCGAACCCAGATCTCACTCTTTCCGGGAGCGCATGCTAACCGTTGCACTACCGACGCTCGTTTTGCACAGCACCTTATTCAGAAATAATTTAGACTGATTATCGATATCCAATATCTGTCAACAAAAGTGGGTTCAATGCCGATAGCGGCTGCCCCGCCAGACCGTCGACGGTTGGCTGTTGGCAGACAACGCGTTATAGCGTAAATAAGAGTGCTGTGCAAAACGAGCGTCGGTAGTGCGACGGTTAGCATACGCTCTCGGAAAGAGTGAGATCTGGGTTCGATTTTCGGCTGACGCAAATGGTTTTGCACAGCACTCCGCATATTGGGTATAATTTGTATATTTATGTGTATATGCTGATTTGATTTTATTTTACAAGTCTCATTATCTCAATTTACTATGCAGATCCAAACACTTCCTGTATTTGATTCGTTTCCTGGCAACGTTCACAAAAGTCTCCAGAAATTCTCTTGTAGCATCGGCTGCTGTTTGAGGATTTCGTCTTCCTCGTTAATGTCGTAAAGAGCTGATCGAGACGATTATCCCTACAATTTTGGAGGTAGCCGGACTAAGGCGTTCCCTTACGAGTTCATTGATAGAATGCAAGATAGCTAGGGAGAGAGGTAGAATCGTCGTTTTGTTTCTCACCTTGCTTTCTGATGTACCGCATCACTAACCGGTATACTTGTCCCTTTCCTACTCTATATATAGAATAATATGCATATATATATACCGACAAATATATACCGACTTTTCTTCATCCTTCGCAATATCAATCCTTAATTTTTTCATGATTATCACCATAATACCACGATCAAACTTTATTCGGCTAATGTTCCTACGCCTTCACAAGAAGCGATGATTTGAGTCGAACTCAAGGTTCGTCCTCGCAATATACTTCCTCGTTGGCGTTCGAGTAGAATTTTCTTTGATCGAGCACGAATCATCGATTCCGAAGAAGATGAAACGTAAGGGTAGAAAATACATGTATTCAATGAAAATGGACTTGTATATGGATAAATATTAACATGAAAATGAAGGCAAAAGCATGAAAACCTATCAGGTGCTCAACATCGATGTGAAGCCAATTATCTCCGACACTAAAAGCCATTGAAGTCTTCGACTTCCTTGTTGAAAGTCTGCCTTGTTAACAAGTGCTTTTATTACACAAACGACCTCAATCACCTTCGGATTACTCCGAATGGAAATACAGACTTCTCTTTGGCAAAATGATGCGGATTTGGCTTTCCTACTAATATGTGATGTTAGCAGACATTTTGAAAATAGCATGTTTTTCCCTCTGGATTTACCCGAACAGTTGCTTTTCTACCTTGATGAATTCGTGATTCTCAAGTAGTTCCTGTAGAAGATTACGTTTCTGGGCAATTAAATAGGTCATAATCCCTTTCTAATTCACAATTTGAACCGAAAAGTGTTTTGATGATTATGCTTGTGCAATCTTGTTCATGTTTTTAAAGCTGTACAAAATTCAGTCCTCATCAACACTGTATCACAGCGAGCTCAGGTCCAAAAGCAAAAAACATTATCTACACAGTACCGAATGCGATTCGCTCATGATAATAACTAAATAGGCGAATTGGTGGTTGTTTTCATTTAATCCTATGTAAATAGAGCTACTTTGATTTGCTCTGTAGTACTTTGTTGATTACCGATAATGTGGTCACAAAATAAAATTTGAAAAATGTTGTAAATTTGCCTGAGTAAGATTCTTCCCCGCTGAAAAGTTCAGCAAAAGAGAGTTTATTGGCATTTCTCAACCTCAAGGACACTTCATTAGCGTAGTTTCACTTGAAGCCGCACAAAATCTACCCTTAGCTCAAATCGTCCGACACCGAAAATTAACGCTGTCAAAAAACTGGGTAGAAAAGACAATAAATGTAGATAAGTGAAAAATAATCAATTATAAGAAGATTTTCATCATCATTCGATGTTTTTCTCCAAAACCTTGCATCAAATCTTGTTAATTCAGGAGAAACGAATCAGCTACTGGTTAAATGAATGTACTTTTGTTTTGTTCTCATTAAAATCATTTAACTAGCTAAAAATTTTGCAAGTCGCAAGATAGAGGAAAATTTTTTGTTTTCATAGACTACTTAGTCGTCTCTACTGACTAATGAGGACATCACGTGTGTGTGTTCGAGCACGACAAGTAGTACTCATAAATTGCACTTCATTCCACTTCTCTGTAAAACCATTGGAATTGGACTTTTTCATATAGTAGCTTTGCTTAGACTTCTACCATAATATTCGCACGATTGAGAAAAATTTTAACCTCCTTGATGAACGTTCTTCCTTATCAAAATGAAAAATGTTCGGAGTTCTCAGTAGTCGAGAAGAAATATTTTGACGGAAAACCGCTCACCAAATGAGAACTGCGTCGGATAAACGCCAAAAGTGATGATGCTGGTGAAGTCCGGCTTTTTCGGCTAGTGGGCGGTCTCGTATCGTCATTATAAAGCTTCGAGCACAATCCAAGACCTCCTTTTCTTCACATGTACAGACTGTCTTCAAAACAACAATGATCACTTGCCGTTTAGATATTTATCCAGATTTACTTTATCTAACACGGCCCAGTCCCTCCTGTCTGCTGTGCGGATATCATCACTTTCTGAATCCCTTTCGTTATAAAGCATCCAGTATCCACAAAGGCCTTTAAACTTTGCGCTCTGGATTGAACTGATGCTCAAGAGTTTGTTGGGTTTTTTATGAATGCTGTTGGATGCTAATTGAGTCGATTATCTCTCGGACTCTGAAATACTTTGGATAGAGCGTTTCCACTTGTGCTGTATAGAATTAATTGTTCCCGGGAAAGCTTAGTGGCAAACTAGCGATGCCGAAGGAATGACAAGCATGATAAACTCAGTACGAAGTCGAACCAGCTCCGTACTTGCGAGAAACCTCACTCGCCTCCTCTGCTATTTTACATAAAAAATCAGTGACGCAAGTAGCTTCTAATTATGCGCTAACACCCCGCTGTAGTCTTAACAAATCATAAAAAATTAGGAGAGGACAGAAAGTCGACCTTTATTAGTCTAATGCGCATATTTTCTGTTTTATTTTTTTCCAGTTCTCTTAGAATTCTAGAATGTCGTGAAGTCTGTAATTTAAAATTGTTGAAAGTTATTGAAATTACTTTGCTAAGTGCTAATCTAATCAGCTCCCACTCACATTATAATCATAATTGACTTTTCTATGATATTTGCAATTCTATGAGCCAAAACTAGCCAATATTCTCTACTCCAGAGGTAGAAAACAAAAACCATTTGGCCCTTCACATAATGTTTTTATCTCTTAGCATGATTAGCTTTGTTGTGCGAACTATAAATAGAATCACTTTAAGATTGTTGGCCTCTCAGCCAATAGGCGCAAATTTGTAACTGAAGTATTTTCAAATCCACTCATGTGAATTTTTTCTTACCTAATTACACCCTTATCGGTAACTGGAATATGAGATGCAATCAGTCAAATTTCTTGCTTGAATCGAAATCGTGTTTATGATGGGCGTCACTCAGTAGTGCATGGCATGTGCAGTAATCAAGGATACTGTGCCTGCACACATGGACTCTTACTCGACCATGTACAAGACCATCCAGCCCAGCCCTCTCATTTCTTCGGAATCGACGAACTGATGCAGATGAATTGATGAGAACCTGTGTGAAGAAAATTCCTTTCGAGCGGTCGACTACCTGCGCTGACAGTCCCAGCAAATATTCATCCTGTTTGTCTCCTTTAATCCATCTTCCTTAAAAAAATCTTAGGATGGTGGATGCATTAAAGCTATTTCAGAATTCCAAAAAGAGCAATTTGACCACAATCAACCAACATTGCGGAAGATCAAAGTCATCAACTAGGAATTGAGTTGGCATTCACCATCCTAAAACGTACATGGAAGACGGATAAAAGGAGACAAACAGGATGAAGAATTGCTAGGACCTGCACTTTATGTAAAGTCAGATTATATAGGAAGAATAATTTTATAGCGAAGCAATAACGTAAAAGCTCATTTCTTAGATTCATTATATTTTGAAGGCATAAGTGCGTTATCGCTTTGGCGTTAGATCCAGATTTATTCCATCCGTAACCTGCTAAGACCCATCACTAATCTTTGCTTTCCTAGCGTTCGAGCGGTTCGAAACTCAACACATGAAGAAAATCGGTGGAATGTTATCCCCACTTTTCTTTCTTTTCTTCCAATTTTAAAGTAGTTTGTGAACACAAAAACGAGCGGACCACCAGTTATTACTTCAGTGTTAGCTTTTCAAAAAGCTCTTTAGAGGTTGATGGTAAACCAGTTTAGTTACTCATAGAAGCAGAGCTTAATTTAGCTGCATTGATAGTTCCAACCCATCGCTTTCATGTTTTTTCTTATTCTGATGTCGTATTTTTATTGTCTACAAATTTGGTTCAAGCGAATCTATTGATATCGCTTGGAAACGAGCAAAAGGTAAGAAAAGGTTGCTGCAGTGGCTTAGATAGCACTGATTTCTTTCAAACTTCTCCAGTTACCTGAATTCCTTATATCGTCGGTTTTTTGCGGTGGTTGACGGATAAAGCTCTCGGCAGTGATCAGTCCGTGAGGGATGTGCCATCAACTCGTCTTCAATTTTTGACTTCATTTGAGATGATTCAATCTATATGTGGCCTTCAACAAGACTCGCGGTGGTCTCCAGCCGTAACACGTCAGTGCTTTATCCTCCAAGACAAGTCTAAGACCACTCTGCTATCAATTTACCGATTCCAGAGGAATAGATGGCTTGGTGAGCCATGAGCGCTAGATCTAACCAGCGACCTTGTGTGCGATGCAGAGCAGAGCACCTCTGACCACTGTGCCGCATACGCTCTGTACGGTGGTAAAGATGTAATAGATACATCAAAATAACCCAATTTCATTCTTTATGCCGATTTGCATGATTATTGCATCTGTTGTACAAATCCGAGCACTTTTTGCATGCGATTCGTTTTCTCGCACTCCTTATCCTCAAAGATCTTCGAACATCTCGCGTCTTGTTTCTGCTATTGCTTGAGTATTTGTCTT